ACTTCAACTCCCAGAATCCCCCAGCCAGCATAGCTGGCTGGGGGATTCTGGGAGTTGAGGTCCACAGGACTTCAAGTTGTCAAGGTTGAGAAACACTGTCCTACTGTACATGCTGATTAGTTTTTAGGAAGAATTTTCATGGAAAAAAGCTATTACTGGACTACAGAGTAAGGCTGTGAAGAGATCAGCCAATTGACTCTGATTGCTGAATGTAGGATCACCAACACGTGTAAATATTCCAGAGAAAATAGGATATTGAGTTGCCTTTACAAATGGTTTGTTTTGTAATTTTGTTTGTTTGTTTGTTTGTTCTTTGCTTACGGCAGCATGTCTGTCAAAGATTCTCAGTCATCCAGGTCATGATTGTCCCAAAGGTGCTTTTTAGGAGGCAACTGGATTTCCTTGTTTTTTCTTTTGAAGATGTTTTGCTTCTTCAGCTCTTTACAGGATAGTGAGGAATGGAAGGATTTATATAGAATTGATTTCCAGAGGAAAACATTGCAGACTTCAGAAACCAGGAGCACTACAAACTACTCAATTTTTCTAATAGAGAAAACAACAATTTACACAGTTCATAAAACAGAATCGTACAATTGCTGAAGGGTGAGATAACTAAGAAGCAGTGAGTAAAATATTACAATGTCTATGGAGATCTTGCCCTGGTTGCCCCAAAGGTGCTTTTTCAGGAGGCAACTGGACTTCGTTTTTCCCTGAAAATGTTTCTCTTCTCTTCCAAGAACCTTCTTCAGAACTGAATAGAACTAAAGAAGCTTCTTGGATGACAAGTGAAAAGTCTTCAATGAAAAACAAAGTCCAGTTGCCTCCTGAAAAAGCACCTTTGGGGAAACTATTACAATCGCTTTATGTTTTCCAAGATGCTGTGATTTGGTGTGAGAGGGGTACCGCTGTGAGATATGAGGGATCCCAATGGTTTGTTAGTCAAGAAATCCATCATTATTTTTTCCTCCTCCTCCTCCTCCTCCTCCTCCTCCTCCTCCTCCTCTTTCCATTTTTATTTTACATAAATAAAAGCATTCTCTCCTGTCCATCCCTCCCCTTTTTGATACTTTCTATGGTGCCTCCATTTGCAATGGGCCAGAAATGGAAGAAGCTCTAAAGTAACATTCTCCCTCATACTAACTGAGTCCAGTTATAGATCAATCCATCTCGTTGCAGATTTAGTTTTGGCCACTTTCACAGCTTAACATTTTTAACTAAGGTATCCCTGTCTTTTTCTATCATTTATAACTCGACAGAGATATGGGTGGATGTGGTTAGCATCGGCAGAGCATTTGGAGAGAGCTGCAGTAACCCTTCTTATTAGAGAGGACATTTATTTGGAAAAGGAACAAACTAAGTCCAACCTGTTTTCCATATTGCCAATTTCAGAAGTCCAAAGTAATGATTTGTGCAGCTGATCTTAATTTGAACAACCTTTCCTCAGTTTTAAACATTTGTGCATATTGGACCCTGACTGAAATGTTAATCCAGATGCTCAACCGGTGTCAGTGGGCATTGTTTTCCCTATTAGGAAGCTAAACTGATTGATGCCAGATGAACATCTGGTCTTAATTATTCCCTTGGATTTGTAACATATAAAAGAAGTCTCTTTCTCTTGCTAGAAGCACTTCCAATAATTGCTACAAAATAGGTAAGATTATCCTTTTTAAAAAGGAATTGGGCTAGCACCTGTTTTGCATAAGGATATGCAAAATCTTCCACGAGCAAACATTGATTTAATAAAGCAGACATCAACTAAACAAACTTTGTCTTCCTTGTTCTTGGAGGCTGAGCTAACAATAACCGTTTATACCAAACTGATAAAGGCCATAATCCCTTATTGTCTTCATCTTGTCTTATTTGGTTTGGTTCACCTTATAATAAGGTTATCTTGTATTTGCTACTCAGCACTGCACCCATAACTTCACTTGCTCCATATGATAAATTTGTCGATATAGAAATGGAACTTGCAGATTCTCTTTTGTGTGTGGGGAAACAACCACCAAAGATGTCCTTTGGTAAAGGAAGCAAACCAGAAGGGAAGTTTTTCTTTCTTTGTGATTTCCTCAGCCCTATCTAGGTCACCATTGCACAAGATCAAATGCTGGAATTAATCTACTTAATGGAACCAGTTAAATAATGCTAAACTTATCTCTCTAACTGTAAGCTAATGAATACATTAGCGATATTGCAAGGATGCTAGATGGGAAGCTTCATAAAAATGAGGCTTCTGTTACAATTCATGCTTAGAAGCTTTTGATTCTGCAAAAAAAAGAGGGGGGCATCTTCTTGTTCTCCAAAGATCTGTAAAATACTAAGACATGAAGAGGAGCAGGGACTGAGGTCGTATAAAACCCTGTCCTTCTCTTGTACTGGCTTCCGGTCAAAACTGATTGTTTAAACAAGCAAGGGTGAAGTCCTAAAGTTTGAGGTGAAGAATCCTTGGAACTGTAGTTATCCATACATGATCCTATATGTATAGGATTAATCTCTGTGTCATTGACGGGATTCCTGTAATAATAATAAAAAGCAACAAGGGAAGCTTAACCTGCAGAACAGCTTGCCTTCAGACATTGTGGGTGCTTCATCACTGGAGGTTTTTTACAAGAGACTGGACAGCCATGTCTGAAATGGTATAGGATCTCCTGCTTGAGCAGGGGGCTGGACTAGCAATAGCAGTAGAAATAGCAGTTAGACTTATATACCACTTCATAGGACTTTCAGCCCTCTCTAAGCGGTTTACAGAGTCAGCATATTGCCCCCACAGTCTGGGTCCTCATTTCACCCCACCTCGGAAGGATGGAAGGCTGAGTCAACCTTGAGCCGGTGAGATTTGAACCGCCGAACTGCAGCTAGCAGTCAGCTGAAGTGGCTGCAGTACTGCACTCTAACCACTTCACCACCTCGACTAGAAGGCTTCCACGCTCCCTTCCAGCTCTATTCTGATCTATAACAAGGACTTCCACAGCCATGCTGGGACTTTCAAAGCTGACATGTTAATGACTTTCCACATAGGAAGGGAATAAGTTACCAATTTTCAAATAAAACGTAGTTCAATAAACATTGATTTCTATCTAGAAAGCTGATGTGAAAAACTAGTACGTATTGCTTTATTTTTAAAATAACCTTGAAGGATAAAAGAGAAAGAGGATTGCTAACCATGTAGCATGTCTTTCATTTACAGAGATTTCTTGATAGGGGAATTGTAGTTTCTTGGCTTTACATTTCCAACTATAAAAGCTTATGCTGAAAATATGAAGGTACTGCCTTTGATCTATAACATGCGGTGTGCAGTCTTGTTGGTGCTATGCAACTGTGCAATTGCAGCCAGCTTTTGCTTGGATGATTTACAATATTCATATATACAAACAAAATCACGGGACTTTTCTCTCTCTCTTACTCAGAAATTAAAAATAGAAATCTCATTTGTGGAATAACATGTATGTATGAAAAAAAGAATGGCTGAGCAGACAGGATCAAAGCAAAAGTGTTTGGCTCTATCATGCACTTACTTAAAGTCACAAAGGACTTTGCCATGATCCTTTTAGAGTTGAGAAATTCTGAATCAAGATGTCCTCAGGGGGCGAGTACTCATACTGGATCCTCAGTTTCTTTCCTTTAACCCCATTCCTGGAATTTCTATCCCAAACTTTTTCCCCGTCTGTCCTTTACCCCCACCTCCAATAACCTCCAATAACCTTGAAGCAAAGCACAAGTCTTTCTCTCTCCATTTCTCCAAAGGGTCTCTATTGGATTTGGAAAGATGAGACATGTATGGTATTAAGTTTAAGAATACTTCTTAAATGTGCAATCAGGATCAACTCTACCGTTGGGCTTCTTGTGACTGAAGAATTAAGGATCCTGTACAGAAAAAAAGATCCCTATTTCAAGAATCTAATCCCACACCATTGCCTGGTGAGTCAGTTGCCAGCTGGACAAGTGACTTGACCTATGCAAGTATTTTGGTTGATCAAAGCTTCAATGCCCTTTGGAAGTTCACTTTCATAATACTAATGCTAAATAAACTCTCTGTCTCTTATTGCCAACATACATTTTAATTCAAATAGGAAGCTATTACAAATTAACAATAACCATGTAATTGAACATTTAAAAAACACATAAATTGAAAAGGGGAAATAGTTAAGAAGAAAAGGATAAAAGTGGAATCAGATGAATTGTAAACATTGGCTTTATAAATACTGTAATAGTTATAGTATTTCAATGTTTTATTAAGTGTATGTGTATATTTCATCTTTTTAAACACTTGAAAATTGCTATTAAACGTAAAGCAGAATAGAAATAGCATGGACAACCGACAGGACAGTATAAATCACAAAATAAAATTGTAAATTATGATAAATGTTGGTCATATTACTGGAAGTATGTTCTAATTATAAATCTTGAATTGTAAGACTTAAAATAGGAGGAAAGCCAACATTTGGATGGGGTACAAGTTCATATAGTATTATACTGCAATATAAAAATGGCTTCCAAACTAAACTAAACTAAACTTTGTGTCAGTTTTACTCTAAGAAACAAGGTAATTCTGGACTTTGAAATGTACTTCCAAAACTTTGATATCCATTTTTCCATAGAAGGCATGAACATTGTTTCCAATATGAGGCATGGGAATGGGACAACTTGCTACAGCCAACTCGTCATGGAACAAGTCGCTGCAGAACAATTTAACAATTCTATTTAATTATTTAAAATAAACAAAAATTAGTTTAATTTTTGCCACTCACATTTTACTCTGTCTCTCCTTTTGTATCCTTTCTTTCATGACTCTATCCCACTACTTCTTTATTATTAGTGTAACTCTTGTCCCACAGCAAGTTGTCTTGTGGTGAGAGGGCCTTGGCAAGTTGTTCTGCAGTGAATGGACTGTGGCAAGTTGGCCATGGTGAGTTGGCCATGACAAGTTGATTGTGGTGAATTGTCATAGACCCAGGAGATATCTGTGCAGCAGTTAGCATATATAGAGCAAGATCTGTGGGAATATGTGGTTTGGTAAAGTTTAGTAAGATTATTACTTTGCAACTTTGCAACTTTAATAAGATTTGTATGCCGCCCACTCCCTAGGGACTCNCTTTCCACTTTTTATACTTATCTTTTTTGTCTTTCAATTTGTCAGTTCTTTATGCAGCCATGCTGATTTCCAATATAAGTGTCTGAAATGTGATATTTGTGCTCTCTTTCCCTTCCCCATGCTAGGGATATGCTTCTATTGTTTTCTAATTATTATATAATCAAAGCACTTTGGTAATTCTATTTACAATTTTGATGTCTGTGTGAAATGATTTCTCATATACTCTAGGTCTGCAGACAACTGAAAATTTAAAGTTTTATGCCATCTCATCACGATTTAAACCATTCAGCAATAAGGGAAAAACATTGGTAATTCAGTATACAGTAAAGCATGAACAGAAAATTGACTGTGGAGGTGGTTATGTGAAATTATTTCCCTCCAATCTGAACCAAAAGAATATGAATGGGGAATCTCTTTACTACATCATGTTTGGTGAGTTGCTTTTGATAAACTTACCTAAAACTGTGGAACAAAATTGGCACTAACATTTTGCACTAAGACCCAAAATTAATAAGGAGGAATCCTAGACAGAGGTATAAAGCTATAATTACTCATTAAAATTCATCTAAGATAAATTTGGCTAAAATACTTCCAAAGCTCCCTTTTAGCTTCTGTATTATAGGCTTTAATCGCAGAAGATCCTGATAGTTGTGATTCTTATATTTTTATCTGCAGTTATTACTGGAGATAGGTAGAAAGTTTCATTATTTTTGGAAAGCCAAAGATTTTATCAATCTGAAAAAATCTGAGACATTTTCTGTACTTTAAATAACAAAAAAGGGCAAATTTTGTTATCTGTTTCAGGGCCTGATATATGTGGTTCTGATACAAAAAAAGTCCACATCATTTTAAACTACAAGAACAAAGTTTATCCTGTTAAGAAACAAATTCGCTGCAAAGTAAGTATTAAAAAAATAATGATAATTAAAAGTTGTGATCCATAATATTCTGATCTTGAGCCACCAAAGTCAGATAAAAGATGTCGGTTAACTATCATAAAACAATACTAAGCTCGTAAGCTAAACTGGGAAATTGGAAAAAATGTCATGGAAGAATATCATTTGTTGCCAAGAAAACTATTAATATGCCCATATAATTTTCAAGAGTCATGCATGACTCAAAAATACTTTTTTTAACTGCAATATGCGTTAGTAGACAAAAACACACATAAATGATATTTTGTATAGCAAACAACGCAGTTGCTATTTGGTTAAAATTACTATATGGTTAATCTAAAGTCCTCTCCATGTTTACAGAGAGCAAGCACTGTTGTATGAATACTTACACATTTACTAGACTTGTGTGATGTTGCTGCACACTATTATTTAGTTTAGTTTAGTTTGTCAAACATGTACAAGATAACAGGTTTCAGTATAAACATGGATATGAACAAAGGAAATGAGTACAAATAAATGGGGACAGTAGGACAGGGGCGGTAGACACGCTGGTGGGCTTATGCATGCCTCCTTTATGAACCTCTTAGGAATGGGGAGAGGTCCACGGCAGACAGTTTGAGATTGAAGCTGTGGGGGTTTGAGGAAGTAACAACTGAGTCAGGTAGAGCATTCCAGGTATTGACCATTCTGTTACTGACGTCGTATTTTCTGCAATTGAATTTGGAGCGGTTTACCTTGAGTTTGTATCTATTGTTTGCCCGTGTATTATTGAGGTTGAAGCTGAAGTAATCATTGACAGGTAGGATGTTGTAGCAGAGAATTTTATTATGGCCATCTGTCTGGAATTAGTTTTATTGAAGGTGTTGAAACAAATCAATATTGATCTTTTTTCCACATTTTATTTAGGTGGATGGATTCACACACTTATATACATTGGTTTTAAAATCGGACCACACATATAAAGTGAAAATTGATAATAAAGTGGTGATATCAGGCATTTTAGAAGATGACTGGGACTTCTTGCCACCGAGGAGAATAAATGATCCAGCAGTGAAGAAACCAGAGAATTGGGATGATGAAGCTGAAATTGATGATCCAGAGGACACTAAGCCAGAGGTGATGCTCTAGGATGGAAGAGGATAATCTCCTGTCCAATGGGAAAAATCCAGCTCAAGGGCATCCCCAACAAATGGCTAGCCACAAGGAGAGTGTATGGATTTTATGATTAAAATAATTGTCCTAGCATTAACTAGAGTCGGGAACGACTAGCACATATGTCCAAGGGGAACCTTTGATCAAACACCATTCCCTTGTAATGGAGGGCTTTGTGAGAACCTGCATAAGCATTTTTCATCTTAGGGGTAGCCTTTTGACGGTTTTAAAAATGCCATTAGGTTTTCTCTGGCTGAAAGTACTTTCCCACCTAGGAGATGCTGACAAATTTTTGTTGCTCTTCGCCAAGTTCATTCCATTTTTAAAGTACAGCATCCACAACTGGACTCAGTGTGTCAAGTAACATACAAATAGATTAGTGCTACAGAGAGTCAAGTTACTACTTCTCACGAGATAGAAACTATACATCACACTCTCTTGTTCAGATTGTGAGGGTCTGAACAATCCTTACATCTTTTTGATATGATTGATGATCTACAAACCTGAGATCTTTTTGCTAAGTATGTACCATTGCTGTCATTTCAATTTGTCTCTCCGAATTATTGTTGACTTCAGTTGACCACATTCTGACAAGATCAGGTTTCCTCCCTCCCGTTTGTTTTCCAAATTCTGTGTCAACTGCAAATTTGAGAAAATCCCATCCACTAGTGTTTTTTTACATTGATATTGTATCTTATCATAGGGTATATTATCAGGGGTAAAAGTCAGCAGATTCTAGAGAACTGGTAGCGGAAATTTTGAGTAGTTCAGAGAACCGGCAAATACCGCCTCTGGCTGGCCCCAGAGTGGGGGGTGGGGAATGGAGATTTTGCAGTATCCTTCCCCTGCTATGCCCACCAAGCCATGCCCACAGAACCGGTAGTAAAAAAATTGAATTTCACCACTGTATATTATATTAATAATAGATTAAATAGATGAAAGGTCTGCTTTAGGAATCAGATCCAAACCTTCATTTGCCCGGTGGGTTGAAGTAACTTTGCAACTTTGCAACTTTAATAAGATTTGTATGCCGCCCACTCCCTAGGGACTCTGGGCGGCTCACAACAAAAGCAAAAACATAGAATATTAAAAGTACAATTATTTAAAATAAAATCATCCATTCAATCACGTGGGGCTGGATTTTAATCAACAAATATGTAATATGCAGATTGATGAGTTAGGGAAGAAAAGCCCACCCAGTCTTTAAAAGATTCACCCACTAACATCCTTTTATTTGTTTAAGACCTGGAAAATCACCATTCTTGTTTCCTCCTTTATAGAAAAAGGAGCATGTGGTGAACGGGAAAAGCCAGTGTGTCTCTTGTCTAGGAGGAAGAGGATGTAGCAGGTCTTATAAGTTTTGTCCTTTGTGGAAGGGCATGCAAACGAAGAATGGGCAGCTGCTGATATGTACCTTCCCATTTCTTTGTGCCAGCATTGGCGGGCAAATTCATCTTATATGCAGGGAAGATGCATGAAATCTGAAATGGTATTTCTGCACCAGCAATTGTGGAGGGGCTTGGCCGACAAGATTAGGTCATCTGCCTTATCAGTTGTTGCCTTCATATTATGCAATGTACTTCTTCCAGAGTTGTAGCCTGGCCTCGTTCCTGTTACAATTTAGAAAGATGTGAAAGACCATTATGTTAATCAGGTTTTACTTATGTTTAAATTCTTAACTATGCTTATTGATTTACATTCTAGAATTAAATTTTATAAAGTCAACCCACAATGACTCTGCAAAACACATCTTGTCTATAAAACAATAAAAAAAATAAAATGCAAGGAAGCTATAGCGAGGAAGCAATCATATCACAGCTATTAAAATAATCTCATTCAAGATGGGAATATATCCCTACCTATTCCAGAGCCTATGGAAGGCCTTCAGGTTTAATTAAAAGGACAGCGAGTGAGGGCTATTCAAACCATCTGGGAGATGCTCTTGCAGAGGGACAGGTACTACAGCTGAGAAAGCATGCCACCTAGTTTCCATCAGATGGCGCTGCTTTAAAGATGGGAACCACAGTACACCCTCTGTCCATTGTTACAGGGTAGGCAGAAACAATGGAAATGAACAAATTTTCTCAAATAGCTAAATCCTATACCGTGATGGATTTTATACTACGGGTGATAACCACATCTTGTATTTATTTAAATAGCCAATAAATAACTCAGTAAATAAATGGGATGTGTGAGTAATATTAAAAAAATGAAAAACAAAGATATGTGTACCCACACACACACACATTAATTCCACTTGGAAGCTAAATAATGTAGCTCATGCAGCAGAAGTATGCCACAAGATATACCGATGGCTATCTGTACTGACCACTCTGGATTGGCTATAGCTTTTGTGTGTTCCTTATGGGCAATTAGCCAGTTGGCCTACTGGGATATAAAAAGGATTTTGACCTTTCCTTTGCTAATTGTAAGATAAATTATGTAGATAACATTTGTAATAAAATTAGCTAGTAACTGAATTTTGTAAAAATGCAGGGTTTCTTTTTCCTTGGCAAATCTGCACTACCTTTTGCTAAGCATTATGTTAGGGTTTCTATCTCACTGTAACAAATTTATTCATTTCTCATTAACGTGGAATTGCAATTGGGCATGTCGGTCTTTACTTACCTGGCTCTTCTGTTTTGCTTTATAAATGTGTTTATATTCCTGTGAGATTTATTCTTCAGAATTTCTCAGAGCTTTGTTTGCATGTAAATCATAAAATCAATGTTTTGTGTTAGGGGTCAACTAATCTGGCCCTGAAGATTTAAATTTGCTTAAGGTATTTGGAGACTGTGGCGTGACTAGAATCAAGGCAGATGTGGTAGAACCCACTAGTAGAGATGGGGACTCAGCTACACCTTCAGGCTTCAAAATAATCAACCTTATTGTGCTTTGCTACAGAGTCAGCATGCCACCTTCAGCAGAATCTAGGTGTTTACTTTACAAAAGAAAGCAATAGGCAAAAAGACTCAGGTGAGCAACCTTCAGTCTCTGTGCATACTGACAAGAACGACCTCTAGATGGCAGCAGAGAGCTACAGAGGACAATTACCTTTTCTGTTCTCTAGTGGCCACTTCCAGTTTTGCAGCAGAGGTTACCTCTAGCACTGGTGTAATCTGCCAGTGCTTGTCACCTCCCAAACAGAGCATTATAAGTGGCTATTGCTGCCTGATGGCTTACATGTAAAAGCCCTGAGCACAAAAACAGCTCTTTTCTCTCAAATGGAGCTGCCAAACTGATTTTTTGAGAATCAAAGACCTTTACTTGGCTGGATATGGTACAGCAATTGGCGGGACTCAGTGTGCTTTGACTGGCCTCAGAAGTTAAGCAGGATCAGGCCTGGTTAGGAATTGAGCAGATCTCCAATGAATTCCAGAGCTGAGAGTTTGAAAAAGATGTAGTAGAAGATGGCTGTAGCAAATCACCATGATACTGTTACACACGCACCCCCTCCCCTCAAAACTCCCCACAATATACTATATGGTGATCTGTAATGGATGGGAGCCACAATATCTCTATTTTTCCTCCATTTATTATTACTAAATCCATTTCATGGCATTTATCTTGCCCGTTTCTCTTGAATCTCCCTACACATTATTTCATTTTCAGTCCTGTGTGGGTGGGTGTGCATGCACCCACCTTCAAGCTGGTCATGATTCCTGTTAACTACTTGACAAAAGTCACTGGTGTTTTCTTGGCCACATTTTTCAGAAGTGGTTTGCTCTTGCTTTTTTCTTCCTAGGGCTGAGAGAGAGTGACTGGTCCAAAGTCAGCAAGCTAGCTTAATGTCTAAGGTGGGACTGAAACTCATAGTCTCATGGATTCTAGCCTGATGCTGTAACCCTACATCAAAGAGAACGCTTTTTTTCAATCCTTCAAAGTCTATTAAATCAGAATTAGGTATAATTCTTTTAGAAACTGTTCAGATTTTGAATACAAAAATTTGTGAGCAAGGAACCAGGAAAATCCCAATGCTGAATATCCTATTGGAATGAATGTCCAAGGATTAGAGATTTCTCTTTTTTCATGGGATGTACAATGGAATCTAGCAATGATTTTGGAAGACAAGAGAAAGAGCCGCAAATTGACAAATGGCAGCAGAGGGAAGGAATGTGGGCATGGCAAACACTTCAAAATGAACCCTCCCTAGTTTTGGGGAATGTAAAGGAGAGCGGTAAGAGATGTACTTTCAGACATGCAGATTTTGTTAATGTAACCTTACAATAAAGCTTGAGACAGTACTTCCAAGTGGGTTGCCTCTCTGGACTAGGACACGGTAAGCAGTTTACAGAGTCAGCATATTTCCCCCAACAATTTGGGTCCTCATTTTACCAACCTT